ATTACATGGCTGGATTTATTTTTTCTTAAATTATCCATGATTAATTACACTATCTGAAATTTTCTTGGAATTTTCAAAGGTTAGTTGCTAATTTTAGTAGTACAAACATCATTTCAGTATTTATTTAAATAAATATCTAAATAAAACCTTCCTTTCTCTCTGGGCTATTTTCAGCCCATTTCCTTTCTCAGCCCGCAGCCTAGCTGGCCTGTTTTCCTCCCTTCCCCCCCCCCTACCTCAGCCCACAAGCATACGTCCGGCCCAACAAGCAACCGAAAGTCTAATAGGCGTCCTCCTGCTCCTCCTCTCATCTCACGTGGGCCCATCGCTACAGTGTTATCCCCTGTCTCCGTTCAAACTCCCTCAGCTGCCCGATGCCGCTTGAAGCCGCCTCCTTTGTAAAATCCAACAGCATCCTTGGACATAAATCTAAAATTAATTGAGGGGTTTCTATCCTCATCTCCTTCTCCTTCCATTTTCCCAAAAATCTGAGCAAATCCGCTTCGTATCGAACTCGAAAACTAGCGAACACTAGAGTTCAGTCTGTTTCACTTGAAAAAAAAAATCGTGTAGCAGATGATGACAATGATGGACGAAAAATCATCTCAAAAGTTTTACGCATTTTTAAATTAGGTATAGATTAGAACTCTGAAATATAGCGGATGATGACAACGATGAACGAAAATATAATTGGACCAAACAATGATTGGTTAATTGCCTAATGACTTGAACAATGATTACCAATAAAAAATTGCGACAGCATAGCTAATCACATTATTTGTACTCAATAACTCTAGGACCATAGCTGATTCGTTGGTATGTGATTGGAACCAACTTAAATACAAAACACATCCTCGATCTACTATTTTCTTCTTTGTCTTGGTCTCCTCTTCTTTATTCTTATATAAATTAGAGCCATGAATTATCAACATGCATGGCATAGCAAAAGAGCATGTAGCCAGTGGTTATAAGAGCCTTAGTAGCACCTTAGATCCTAAGTTCGACTCCCCATGGGAAACGAATTTTCCGGGATTTAACGGCATTATGCTTTCACTGGTAGGCGACGTACCCGTCGACAGTGAGGCGTCTGTGGTGACTTCGTCAATCTACAAGATTTGCCGGCCCAGTCTTGGAAGATGCTCATAAGGGTAGGGTTTACGTGCATGAGTTTATAGGGGTGAGTGTGCGTGCGTTGTGAGTGTTTGCGTTGTACTGTGTAATTCTAAAAAAAAAACATGCATGGCATAGTAGCAGAAGTAGCCAAGGCTCCTCCTACCTTCATCTTGTTTTCCTTTAAATCAAAAAAAATGAACCAAACTGCATAGAATAGTTAATTGTTACAAGCTTAAAAGAAATAACTTGATAAGCCATGGGCTCATCATCCTCCCCTTATTTTAAGAAAGCCATCATCTTTATTTGTTACCTTGTAACAATTTTCAACATACTTAAAAGAAATAACTTGATAAGCCATGGGCTCAACATCCTCCCTTAATTTTAAGAAAGCCATCATCGTGACTAATGGATGTGTTAGAGGTAGTACGTACGGGTCTTATGGGGTCCCACTGTTTTTTTATGAGAGCTATGGGTTCACTAGTTTTTAATTATTTTTTTATTTTTTATTTACATTTTTAATGCAATGTTTGCATCACGTAGGCTTCACATTGGATGAAGACTAGGTCAACGTGCCATGTAGGTGCTAGGATGATGAAACCTTCGTGTAGGCTACCAAGTGAGGTGAATTGACCCAGTTTTACAGTTTTCTTCTAGTGAGGTGAGAATTGACCTGGTATTACCGTTTTAATAGTTACAAGAGCCTCTAAACCCGGCTATGAACAAAAGTGGATATTTTTTTTCCATTTGTTAACAGGAACTAATGGCCCACGGGTGGGTATGTTGGGTGAGCGTTAGTGCCTTGCGAATACTCTCGACAGCCCAGCAGCCCAACCCATTTCTTTATCTCTCTCCACCTCTCTCTCTCTCTCTCACACACACACAGTTTATCCACCTTTCTCTCCCAATGGGCGATGATGATAGCGGGTGGCAAGCTTGCTTCACCTCCCTCCAGCGAGTTTCCTCCGATGGAGAAAAGGAAATGTGTAGACAAGTAGACTCCCTTCAGCGATGATGACAACAAAGACCTCTCTTTGGCGAGCTTCTTCCGGCAACTACATTAATTCCTTTTTTTCCACCGTTGACCGACCTTTGCTAGGTCGATTCCTTTTTTTCCGGCAACTACAGTAAGGTTGAATTTAAAGAACTCTAAACGAGCTGTTCTTAAAAAAGGTTGGTATAAAATACTTATATGGTTCTAGTGACGTATCTAGAATTTTAGGCATGGGTAGTCCAACTTATATAAAATTATTAAATACGGTACATCTAGAATTTACCCATATAATTATTGAAAGTTCATCATGATTCATAAAATTTGACTTAAAGAAGCTTACTCGGCTACAGATGTTTGAAGAAGATTGATTTTAGTGTGCTCTTCTGCCACAACCTAGGAAGGAGGTGATTGAGAAGCAATCTTCATCTTATTTGCTTCATGTTTCGGAAAAAGAGATGCGATATTATTTCCATCTTTTTTCATACTTAATCTCTAATACACATTACATTCATGGTGAGGTGAGAAGGGTGAAAAAGATTCCTAAACAACCAGTTAATCTCCTGACGGACCTGACCTGTCGGGTGCAGACTCGGGAGCCCTAACACCCTTGCTGTCCGCAACTCCACCGTTGCCACTCACTAGGATCTTTAGCCAGCAGCCGCACGGCGCACACGTGTGGGAGAGGAAACAACACAGACGAGTGAGGGACTACTATATATCTGGAGCTGAACCGATTGACCAACACTTTTATTCACACATAGGAGTTGTTTTTATCTCTTTTTTTAAACCATAAATGGGCTTTGGCTTGGCGATTTTTTTTCTGGTCCGAGGACCACCGGACCACCCTCGGATACTCCATTAATTGCATGGTTCTCAGATTGATCACTCGTCTTTTTACTATTCAAAAGCGTTTATAAATACTTTAGAAAGTTTTTGTAACATTAAAGTATATTGTATCCTTAAAAAAGTTTCATTTGTTATTGAAGGTTATTAGAGATCAAAGTTAGAATAGTACATGGAAACAATGAGATAAGTATGTGAGAAAGAAGGGAATGTTATAAAATCTTAAAAAAGGTCACCTTGTTGTAACAGAAAAATTAGGTTAGATGGTCCATTAATAATCATCACCGGGAAGGATATTTGTCTATAAATAGAGACCATGAGATGAGAGGAGAGATAGTAGGACCAATCGATTCAAACCATCCAAAAGCAGCAAGAGTTTCACGACCTCTGTAACTGACTAGAGCACACCGACCAAAAGTAGCTAATCTCATGTCTGGGAGTAAGGTGATTAGTGTTCTCGATACGGAGGTGCTTGCAGTTAAAGGTGGCACCACGCAGCTAGCTGATGCCGCAGCTGCCACCGGCCGAACTTGTGCTCCCTCCGTGTGGGGCGACTTCTTCGTCACCTACACCCCTCCCAGCCCCACAGGCATGCAAATTAATACTAGTATTACTGAACATAATATATATGTGCACACACAAGAAATATACTCCCTCTATTTCAGGTTATAAGCCGTTTTAATTTTGGTTAAAGTTAAACTGCTTCAAGTTTGACCAAATTTGTAAAAAAAAAGTAACATTTTTAACCCAAGGCAAATTTATTATGAAAATATATTCGATCATTGATTTGATGAAACTAATTTGATATTGTACTATATTTTTCTATAAACATAGTCAAATTTAAAGTAGTTTGACTTTGACTAAATTCAAAACGACTTATATAAGACGGAGGGAGTACATTATAGAGAAAATTATCATTTTGTATCTAAATATTTAGCTAATTCGTTTATATGTTTGAGTTTTGTCGAATCCCTTTTATATGCAGAGCTTCTATGTTGATTTCTACACCTCCTTTCCTTTAGTTGATCATTTTTTTCCTAAAATGACCATATTACCCTAATTTATGTATTACATAATGTTGAGTGTTCTAATTAAAAGAACAATTTTCATTTTTTTTATATAGTGCCTAAAATACATTTGAAAATTTCAAAATTTTTCACTTGATAAGAAAAACAAAATTTCAAATATTAAATAATTTTTGAAAAAAATTGCATGAAATGACAGTGACGAATACTCTCTTCGTTCTAATTCGTGTCAAAACGTTTTTGTCGTTCTGATCACACTTGAAAACATTTCTAGAGATCTATATTCCCTACTATCCTTCATCAATATATATATATATATATATATATATATATATATATATATATATATATATATATATATATATATATGTATATATATATATATATAGAAAGATGATTAGGAAATAATTAACGAGGGTAGCAATGTAATTTGCCAACTACTAATTTATTGTTAGATTTTTTTAGAACGACATGTCAATTAATTAAAACAGAGAGAGTACATGGCTATGACAAAATTGACAATTTTCAAACTGAATATTGTTCATTAAAAAATACATTTCAAATTTGATTTGATGCAGAGTTTCACAAGTTTTTGAAATTTCAATGAAATTACTTCCATATTATGTAATTTTGCCCTAACTTTTTTAAACCCAAAACTACATATTCGGTAAATTGTCAAACTTTTAGTAATAATATGCCAAGGGAAATATGGCCATTTCTTTAAAAAATATAAAACTAACAATTAACTAATGATCAACTAATGAAATGGATGTGTGAGAGATCTTATAAAAGTTCAGGAGCAAGAGATTGCGTGAAATTTCAATGGCATGTTGTTAATTGATCATATACAATATTCTAGATAGCTTAATTAGTAGTTTGACAATACATGGATACTTTAACTAGGGAACATATCATGTACACACAAGTCTCTTCTCGTATACACACCGTATACTCTAATTAACAAATTTCACCCGAAAAAATCTAAAATAAAATTATACAAGTACTTCCAATAATATGGCACATATGTGTAAAGTCTTAACCTCAAATTCATTATATTTTAGCCATAACAAACATGATAAAAATTATGATAGTTTTGAGAGTATATAATTTTGTTTTTTTGTCTCTGTATAATATGAATTTGAATATGAGACTTTACGCATGGATGTAATTCCCCTTTAACTATGGCTCTCTTGGATTTAATTGCTCGTGCATATGTTTTCAGATGTCAGAGAAGTGGATGAGGGAACATGTGGATCAGCTAAAGAGGCAGGTGCGCTGCAAGCTGTCGAAGGCCACGAGTATGGCCTACACGGTGATGCTAGTGGACGTGCTCGAACGCCTCCACATAGACGACCACTTCCGCGACGAGATCACCGTAGCGTTACAGCATGTATTATTATTGCACCATAAGGAGCACGCCGACAGCGTTGCTGCTGCTGACTTGCTCCACCTTGAATCCCTTAGGTTTCGTCTACTTCGCCAGCATGGTTTCTTGGTATCTGCAGGTAACTCGGAGTATAATTCAATCTCTCTGCAGTTTTGTAGGAGAATATTTTGTTATATATATGTACATATTGATATAGAATGAATATAATTGCCGAATCAGTTAGAAGACATTTTCATTGATAGCTAGGAGCGTATAAATTGGGACACAAAATCAAAAGAATGGAAATAAATTCAGTATATAACAGTCCAAAAACTGAGGTTGAAAAAAAATACGGTGAAAAAAACACTAAATGAATTCTAAAATACGACAAAGATCAAACAAGGTTCGATCTAAAGCTTGTTATTTGAACACACATCTCTCCCATCTCTGATTCATTTGGATAAATATAATCCCTGGAGCATATATAGTACTAGTGTGTACACCCTTACAGCTAGAAATTTGTTCATGCAGATGTATTCGACAAGTTCAAAGATAGCACGGGTTGTTTCAGAGAAAACCTGAGCACGGACGCAAGGGGCCTGCTAAGCCTCTACAACGCAGCGCACCTCGCCATGCCCCGGCGAAGAAGCGGCGCTCGACGACGCCATCGCGTTCTCGAGACGGAGCGTCAAGTCCTTGCAAGGTAAGCTGGGATCGCCGATGGCCGAGCAGGTCTCCCGCGCCCTCGACATCCCTCTCGCACGGGCGCCCAAGCTGCTGGAGACGATGCGCTACATCACCGAGTACGAGCGGGAGGAGGCGCACGACGGCGTGGTGCTGGAGCTCGCGAGGCTGGACTTCGAGCTTATCAGACCTCTTTACCTCAAGGAGCTCAAGACCCTCTCCTTGTAATCATTTAAGTTTCTCTTATGCATATTATTTTTTTCTTCCACAATCATTTCTTGCTTCACTGTCCTTGTCGTTCTCTGCTTCACGCAACTGTGTTATAAGCAATAGCCCTGCTTTTACTCATCAGCAGATTATGATAGTGGAATATATATTACTGTCAGTAAAAACTATCATAAAATTACTCTACTTCACTTCACTGCACAGTTAGCATAAATACAATTACGTGGTCTAGTAAATATGTGCGTGCGTGAATATGATTGACAGGTGGTGGAGACAACTTTATGACAGCGTAAAGCTGAGCTACGCTCGAGATCGTCTAGTAGAGTCTTACTTCTGGTCCTGTGCCATATTCCACGGGGAGAAGTACTCTCGCTCGCGGATCATATTCACCAAGGTGTTTTAACTGATGACTCTGATGGATGACACTTACGACATCCACGCCACCCTGGAGGAGTGTTACAAGCTTAACGAAGCTATGCAGAGGTAGAAATTTGCTAGTTAATGATGGCCTAGTAGGTTGTCAATTTGCCAACGAGCATTACTAATCAATGATCTAGCTAATATAAATATATCCTCGATATATATATATATATCTATACAGATGGGACAAAAGTGCGGTTTCTATTCTACCAGAATATTTGCGTATCTTTTACATAAAGTTGCTCAATGACTTTGATGAGATGGAGGACAGCTTGGAGCCGGATGAGAAGTACAGCATGTCTTACGCGAAAACTACGGTAAAATCTTGTTCTCCAAAAAAAAAAAAAAAGGCATACTAAAGTGATATTCGTGCCCTCGTCCACACATTTTGATTAATTTTCCTGCACATGCACACATGTACACAGTTCAAGCAGATGTCGGAATACTACCTCCGTGAGGCCCAATGGTCAAGCGACAAGTACATGCCCAGCTTCGTCGAGCACCTGGATATCTCTCTCATGTCGTCCGGCTTCCCGGCGATGGCACCGGTGCTGCTGCTCGGCGTGCGCGACAGCGGCGGTGCGGCGGCGACAACCAAGGAGGCGTTCGAGTGGGCGACCAGCGTCCCCGTCCCCGCCCTGGTCCGCGCCGGCGGGGAGCTCGCCCGCTTCCTCAACGACACCGCCTCCTACAGGATCGGGAAGAGCGGCGGGGACATGGCGAGCACGGTGGAGTGCTACATGGCGGAGCGCGGCGTGGGCGGGGGGGAGGCCGTGGCGGCGGTGGCCGCGCTGGCGGAGCGCGCGTGGAGGACGATCAACGGGGAGTGCGCCGCCGTCGGGACGATGGATGCCGCCCTGCTGCCGGCGGCGCGGCTGATGGTGAACCTGGCGAGGACGGTGGAGGTGATCTACCTCGGCGGCAGGGACGGGTACACCGTCGGTGGCGACCTCAAGGGTCTCGTCTCCAACCTCTTTCTTGATCCCCTTCCCGTGTATTAGGCATGCACACAGCAACGTGCCGACGTGTTCGTCCAAATCGTGTGCGTAACTTCGATCCTACATATATATTTTATTTTAGTTAGGGTGTCTGTTCTATGTTAGACTCTATAGTTGAATAGAATTAACATGGTTTTTTATAAAACACCAACTAAATCATATATGCCGGTTTTCTTCAGAGCATACTGGCTTCGGTTCTATGTCCAACTACAAATGTGTGAAGAGGACATGGTGACTATTCATGCTACATGTTGGAATTTATAAGCAACCGCCGTTTAAATTTTCGCTAAATTTGGATGGAATTTTAATAATAAGATTATTCTTTGAGTAAATTGTTTCTCTTTCCTATGATGGTGACATTTATTATTGTGTCGTCTCTTTATTCTTTGTTACAAATTGTTATACTTGTTTTTCAGCCAATAACTATGTAATAAGTGGCTATAGCTTCTGTTGAAGTAAATGTTAGATTTTATCCATTATCTAAAAACATATACACTATACGCCCACATAATAAATACTAGGGTATGCATGCGTATGTTACAAACAGGGCCATCCTAAATTATTGTGGCCCTATTCAAAATATAAAATAAGGTCTTATACGTATTGGCGATAGCCAATGTATGCTAAAGAAACTCACCTGTCTATCAGTGGCGGATCTAGAAAATCGATTCGTTAGTGTCAGAACGTGTCTATCGGTGTCATCGTGTGCTAATTATACTTACATCATTGTGTCATAACATATGGATAAGCAGTTTCGCTATAGTTTTTGCTGAAAATCGTCGGTGTCGCCTAACACCGGCCCTTCTACTGTAGATCTGTCCCTGCCGTCTATGACGACCTAGCTAGGCAGAAGAAGAATCGCTGCACCAAGTTCATTTTTTTATTAATTAAGTGGACAAATGATATTGTTATTATTTAGAACACACGTTCACTACCGTCATGAATATAGTTCTACAAGGTATCTATGATTATCAAACAATTGTCAGAGAAAAAAAATCTCGTTCTAGGAAAATTCAATTGAAGCACAAAGAAAATTTTAAAAAAGAAGTAAAAAGATTCTAAATATATTAGAACACATTGGTATATCAAAATATATAATTTTAAGGGGCCAATACAGTTGTACATCTCACACACTTGCCCTGGTTACAAATAAGATTAATCCACCAGGAGCTCTATACCTCTTGTGTGTAGTGCTTTGTCTTTGTATTTGCCGATGGATTGAGTCGGTTGTGATAAAAAAAAATAAAGAGAAAACGACCCAGGGCATTTTGTCACGACTCCAAAAACAAAAACAAAAACAAAAACAAAAATCGTCCTTTTCCTAGCATATGATGGTTCTTGCTTGTTCAGTTCTTCTCGTCTGCCTCAATAACTAGGTGCTTTTAAGCGGAGTCACGGCCTCACGGGTACATCATTCTACCCAGTAAAGAACTCACATCGTGATGTCTACAAATACTAAGCACATGTGTTTAAGCCATCATTCTACCCAGTAGAGAACTTAAATCGTGATGCCTACAAATACTAAGCACATGTGTTTAAGCTATCCATAGAATTTCAGTGAGGCACGGGTCTTCAGTAAGATGCATACCATAGAGAGATGATAATAAGATTTGACACTCAGGTTGTTTAGTGGCTAGAAATATATATAGTATGGTGATTCATCGGCTTTGGTTGTGGTAGTTGATCGGAAATCGGAGCAGATTGGTGGTGTCGAGCAAGCTACGGGGCACGCGAGCTTTTTAGTGTAGTAGACTACGGTACAGGGAAAAAGCTCGACGGGTCGGCTCAGGTGAGTGGAGGCGATGACTTCCGCAGAGAGCTGCGGCATCGGGCGCTTTGGGAAAGGCAGCGACGGAGCTCCAAGGCAGAGGAGGTTGCAAGTTTTCTAGCAGGGCGCAGCAGTTTTCTCAGTGAAAGTGGCACATTTAAACATAGGTTTTGTGTGGCCGTGGTCCGTGAAGAAGAGGAGACGGAGCGCGGTATAGGGAAATTAAGCAGCGGAAGCACGAGGAGCTGTCACCGTACGTGCGGGCGTGGGACACATGAGTGCCTTATCTCTCGGTGGACCGTGAAGTCGCGTGGGTGTGGGTTGTTTGAGAAAGATCTTTCAACCAGTGTAATAGCTGATAAAATATCATTAACAGGATCAACAGCGTCGTTCGTCTACGCAGGATATATCACGATCTACAGGTTGGTATAATGGAGATATATCATACATGAAAAGTAAGGTCCAGGTTTATACGTAGGATGATTTATGCGCGACTAGTGCAACAATTGTTTTTTTCCTTTGTTTTCAAAGAACCTGTACATTTATTAGACACCACAGTACAAGTAGTGTCACCGCTTGCGCGTAGTGACGAGATTGACCAACGAAGACAATGCATGAATGGTCCATCATGGACCGCTTGCCGCACAGGGACGACGATTTCAGCAAAAAGAAGAATAGACGATCGAATTGTCGTACGAGGGCCTCATTTTGCATGTGCACCCTGTACTGTTCTCCCTGTAGGGCTGTAGGCTGTGGCCCAGCATGCATGATGCATGCAGCAAGCACTGACTGGCACATGCCTCACATACATACACTCCCATCGTGAATACGTGTACTGCTGATCGACCGATATTTTCAGACTTCCAGTACTGATTGGCACATATAACGGCCGGCCTAACTACTGGAGTACTCAGGCTGTGTTTAGATCTAAAATTTGGATCCAAACTTCAGTCCTTTTCTATCACATCAACTTACCATACACACACGACTTTTCAGTCACATCATCTCCAATTTCAACCAAAATCTAAATTTTACGCTGAACTAAACACAGCCTCAGCACAACTCGTCGTCTGCATACTATACCTATTCATTTGGAAGGTGACTTTGCACGAGCCGTCAAACCCTTGGTATGTTTGCATGAGTTATTACGTGAGCGCGCTTGCGTAAGAAACTGAGAACACCGGCCTCTTTCATCCGTACAGCATATCCATCCATCTAACGTGAAAATATAAACTTACCCTCGCACCTCTCTTCAGTTATATGGTATCACCTCAAGAACATAAATAGAGATCAGTCTGATGAGCAAGCAATCGCGCACATCACGAGTGCGCGGCAAAAAATGACAAAACAGTGTGCATACGACCACAAGTTTCCTCTCTTCCCTGGGCATTCAACCCGCCACAGCGCATGCTTGTTTTTTATTCTGGTTGGACTTTGAGCCAACAAACAGTATGCTGTCCAGTAAAAAAAGTTATACACATACACTTCATAAATTAAAAAATTATACGTAAAACTTTATACATAGATACTTTGCGTAGAAATTTTGTATATATAAAATTCATGCGTATGAATTTGGAAATGAATTCTTCGTGTTAACCCTAGCCCAGAAAGAAAGTTTACTCATAGAAAAAGAAAAGAAAAAAGTCAAAATTAACCCCTGAACTATTGAGGTAATATGATTTAATCTCTTAAATCACAAAGCCAGACATTTAGCACCCCCTAACTCTTTAAACCTGATGGATTACCCGTGAGCATGGTTTGAAGTGGTTTTGGCATAGGATTGCACACGTGGCACGAACCTGACACTCCAATCAGCAACAAAACGTCAAAATAAATATCCAAGTGGGCTCACATGACATCTCTCACCCCTCTCCCTCTCTCGGGAAAAGGCCAAGAACCCAAGGTCGGTGAGCGGCGGCGCTTAAAGAGTAAGGGGTGCAAAACAACTAGTTTAGAGGTAAATTGTACTACCTCAATAGTTCAAGGGGTAATTCAGATTTTTTTTTCAAAATAAATAAGCATAAAAACCAAATACATTGATACTTTGTGTGAAAAATCTATTCCGTGCATATGCACAACTTGTTTAACTCATGAGGCTCGCGGCGCAAGGGTTCTTCACATGCGCTAATTAGTCATTTTGTACAATCTGATTAAACGTAAATTTGGTAACCCTCTATGCGGTTTTTTTTCCTCAAACTAGTGTTTATTGTTCTTTTTCTAAAATCTGAAAACTATATTTAAAATTTGAAACTTTTGAATCAAATTTGAAACTCTACTTAAATTCCGAAACTTTCAACTCAATTTTCAAACCATTCATCTCAAATTTCAAAAACTTCCAACTGAAATTTAAAACTTTAACTCAAATTGAAGCAATCAACTTAAATTCTAAAACTTTCAATTCAACTTTTGGAACTTTCAACTCAAGTTTCAAAACTTTCATATCAAATTTACTTTTGACTTGGAATTCGATACTTTCAGCTCGAATTTTAAACTTCAACTTGAACCACCTTCCGCATACGAGGCAAGATTCTGTGTAGGACTTAATATATGGTGGGCCCCACCGAGTTTAACTCAAAACTATTGAGTATGCATTATCCATAACACTGATAGAAACTTTCAACTTAACACTTTTTCGTTAATTTATATTACAAAATGTTATTGAACCAGATTAACACTAAGCGGGTCGGGGGTGCGCTAAGTAATATAGGGGTCGCTTGTTGGGGGTGCACGACTTGCCCCCACAGAGCAGCGCGTGCATTAGGAAGCCCTGGCCCTACTTTCTCCGCATATGCATATAAACATTGTACGTATAACTTTCGTACATATAAATTTGAAACAAATTAAAAAATAATAATTAGCCTACATGTGGGCTATATATTGGGCCCATGTGCCCAGTGCTACAAACACATGAAAACATATCAAATTCAATAACGGGCCAAATCCATAAAATTTCATGTGTGTAGCCCATGCAATATGAAAATTGTCAAATAGTAAAGGAATAAGTTCATATGCGGTCCCTTATTTGTCAACGAATCCGATTTTCATCCTTCAACTAGAAAACCAGATATAACGGGTCTCTTAACTATTACAACCGGTGCAATATAGATCCCATGGTGATTTAGATGGTGGTTTTAGCTTACGTGGCGCCTACATAGCTAAATTGACCCGTTCTTCTTCTGACGTGGCATTGACGTAGCAATTTGATGTGAGAATTAATAAAAACAATGACCCCATTGTCAGTTACACTAAAAGAATTAATTAAAAATGGTGGGGTCCACGTGGGCCCCACATGTCATTCTCAGCCATCTTATTCTTCCTCCTCCTTTCTCCACATATTCAGTTCGAATTCAAAACTCTCAACTCAGATTTAAAAAATTCAACTTAAATTCTAGAACGTTTAATTCAATTTCGAAACTCTCAACTCCAATTGAAATGTTCAACCCAAAATTTAAAATACTCAACCAATTTTCAAAACTTTTAATGTGCCTGTGAAAATTTAAGTGATACACATTAATTTATTTGTTTCATGATAACATAAATTTGTATGAAAGTAAACACAACATTTTCTATCTCCCCCTTGCACTTACAAATAGAGATAAAATTTGAACATGTTGATGTTTTGTTTTTGAAAACTAATGGCTACACCTCTTCCTCGATTTAAGAAGCTTACTTTGAGGGGTCTTGATATTTCGATAATTATTCGTTACCTTATTCGTTTCGATTCGTATTCACTCCGTATCTATATTCGATAATATTCGATTCTGTTTTCGTATCCGGGTTTCTGATTCCAATTCCGTGAAAAGAAATATGAAAACGGATATGGTAGAGCTAGTTTCCGACCATATTTGATTCGTTTTCACCCCTAAATGTGACACCTTCTTTTCAACAGCATTAGAACCAATTTTAATAGAACTTTTTATTCTTCAAAATTTTGGATATATTTTCGAGTTCTGTCTCAAAATTTATTTTGCATCAATAGTTTGTGTAATTTATCTCTTAGAAACAACTACTACTATAAATCACCCATATTTTTCCAACGGTACTATACCTTACTGGCCTAGCTTTCACACACCTAGCTAGAAGCCTGGAATACACGGGTACACAACTTATACAGGATCGATCGAGAACATTCAAATTCAGCTCAAATACGTATAACGGCGACCGGATCAAGGAAGAGGCTGACGACGAGGCCCTTGATGTCGCCGCCGAAGGTGTAACCGTCCCTGCCACCAAGGTAGATCACCTCCAGCGTCCTCGTCAGGTTCACGATGAGCCGCGCCGCCGGCAGCAGCCCGGGGTCCATCTCCATCAACGCCCGGTTGATCGTCCTCCACCCGTGCTCCGCCATCGCCGCCACCGCCGCGAGGGCGGCCTCCTCGCCGACGCCGTGCTCCGCCATGTAGCTCTCCACCGAGCTCGGCACGTCCTTCTCGTTCTTCCCCACGCGGTGGGACGCGATGTCGTTGAGGAAGCGCGCCACCTCGCCGCTGGCGGCGATGACCACGTCGGGGACGCCGGCGGCGGTGGCCCACTCGAACGCCGCCGCGGTCGCCACGGCGGCGTCGTCGTGCACGCCCATCAGCACCACCGGCGCCAGCATCGGGAAGCCCGACGACATGACGGACACCTCCAGGTGCTCGGCGAAGCTCGGCGTGTACTTGGTGTTCGACCATTTGGCCTCACGGAGGTAGTATTCAGACGACAGCTTAAACTGTACATGGACAGGAAAGGGAGAATTTCACGTGAGATTCTACTGATTTTACTCTACATATTAGCATGTTTCATAGACTGAAATGTGATTTTTACTATGAATATTTACCGCATTTTTGGCGTAGGACACGCGGAACTTCTCGTGTGGTTCTAAGCTAGCCTCCAACTCGTCAAAGTTGCTCAGCAGCTTGATGTAAAACATGCGCAAATATTCTGGCAGAATAGAAATCGCGCCCTCGTCCCATCTGCACATCGACATGTATACATGTGAGCTGAATCACCAGCATAAGGATCAATCAACAATGCAACATCATGAGAGATTAATTAATTCAGACCTCTGTATAGCTTCATTGAGCTTATAGCACTCCTCCAAGGTAGCATGGACGTCATAGGTATCATCCATCAGGGACAGCAATCCAAATACCTTGGCAAACATGATCCGGGCACGAGAGTATTCCTCCTCATGGAACACGCCGCATGTCCAGAAGTAGGACTCCACTAGGCGATCTCGAGCATAGCTCAGCTTCACGCTCTCGTAAAGCTCTCTCCACCACCTGCAAGATCATCAACCTCTTACACTTATAGCGAAGACGAAGAAGACAGTGGCAGCAGCAATGAGACGATAAGAAACGATCACTCACAAGGAGAGAGCCTTGAGCTCCTCAAGGTGAAGACACCTCGTGAGCTCGAATTCTAGCCTCGCGAGCTCCAGCAGCATGTCGTCGTGTTCGTCCTCTTGCTCATACTCGACGAGGTAGCTCATGGTCTCGAGCCGCCTTGGGAACCGTGGGAGTGGGATGTCCGGGGCGCGGGAGACCTGCTCAGCCAATGGCGATTTGAGCTCGCCTTCCATGGACAGGGCCTCGAGGTGGCACCTCGCGAAGGCGATGATGTCGTCTAGGGCGATCTCTACAGGTGCTGCCATGTGAGCTGCGTTGTACAGGCTCAGCAAGCCCCTCGGGTCATCACGTAGGCTTGAGCTGAAACTACATGTACCATCTCTGAACTTGTCGCGAACACATCTGCATACGTACGCAAACACAACATAATGCCAAATTAATTAATTAACTATAGGTAGTATCTATATCTAAAAATTGTCACAAGTTTTTTGAGTATAAAACTTTCAGATGTAACTATAATATAATTGAAGTGTAATTATATTGTACTATATTGTAACTACGATATAACTTATATAAAACTTGCATTCAACTATGGTTTGGTTAGTTAGTACTGAAATCTTACGCGTGACACGTGTGAAACATTCTTTTAGCAATTTTTTTCTTCATGCACAAATCTCAAGGCGATCCGATGGTTACAATCCTAAAAGTTTTGGGAACAAAAAACTTATAGAAGTTTTCTAGCAAATCCGTTAACTATATGTATTGCCATTCGTTCTTAAATCGTTTATGCAAAACCAATTTTCTTGTATTTTCCTCTATGAATCATCATAGTATTAATTAATCCAAGACTAACAGTTACGTACCTGCAGATACCCAGACCCCATGCTGCCTAAGCAGACGAAACCGAAGGGCAACAGTATACAGGTCGTCGTCGCTGCCTGCAAAATCCGCCTCCTCGCGGCGGAGACGCCCCAGCAGCACACCAATCTCGTGCCGGAAGTGCCCATCTAGTCCGAGGCGTTCGAGCGTGTCCACCAGCGTCGCCGCTTCGGCCACGCTCATCGTAACTCCGCCCTCGCCGTCGCCGTTGCCGCCGCCGGCGGCGAACATCCTGCGGCGCACCTCCCCGGCGAGCCGCTCCGCCCGCGCCCTCATCCGCTCCTCACAACCTGCATCAATTAATATATATATGATCGTTTAAAACAGGCGAAAATTGATCAAATTTTGTCTGAAATTTGACAGAAATCATGTGAGCCACTGGATCGATATCACGCCCGTGCCTGCGAGAGGGGAGGGGCGTAGGTGACGGGTTCTCCACCCATACGGGGATGGAGCGACAGAAGCATGGAAATAGGATAAGGTAGCGGCGAGACGAGCCGTTTAAATAGGTGTCAAGTGGAAGTGCAGTGATGTATGCAGCTGAGGCATCCTAACGAACGAACGATTTGAACCTTGTTCCTACACGACCTGATCAAATCGATCAGGCACTTGCCATTTATCTTCATTGTTCAACTCTTTGATGAAAAGATGAAAAAACCAAAAAAAAGCTCTGCCCTTCCATCTCTTGGATAGATAGAGAGGGAGGGCAGAGGCCTTTGGTGTCCCTTCCAGTCAAGAATTGGGGCTTCACAATTACTAGCCAATATTTCTCTCATGCCTTTCCTCGTTCATGGTTCGATATTCTGGTGTCCTAGGCGTAGAGGAACCACACCAATCCATCCCGAATTTGGTGGTTAAACTCTACTGCGGTGACGATACTGTAGGGGAGGTCCTGCGGCAAAATAGCTCGATGCCAGAATGATAAAAAGCTTAACACCTCTTATTTGACTTTTTCACTATTTTGAAATACGAAAAAGATCCAAATCCAAAATGCAAAGGTCTTCTTATTCAAAACCTCAATCATCACATCCCCTCTCTCCCACTTCACACCTCGGAACGCACTATTCTTATAGAGAGAAAGGGGTTTTCCCATCTTCTTAACCCGAAATGAAATGGCTGAGGAGAGGGAGGTTCCTTTTGAGGGTACCCCGGGAAGAGATCCAGTGGAGACGGGGTGGGCCTGTAGCTCAGAGGATTAGAGCACGTGGCTACGAACCACGGTGTCGGGGGTTCGAATCCCTCCTCGCCCACAGCCTTCCAAAGGGGAAGGGCCTTTACTTTCCCCCTGAGGGTAGGAAAACCATGATCGGGATAGCGGACGTAAAGCTATTGAACTTGGGTATGCTCTTTCCTTTTGTCGAAGTGGAATCGTAGAACAGAATGTGATACGATGAGATAAAATGCAATAGAAACAAGGATAGCGAACGGGTTACCTACTCCTAAGGGTCAAAGAAAGCCCTTTAATTCAATTCTTTATTCTTACATTAAAGAATGAATCAAATCTCCCCAAGTAGGATTCGAACCTACGACCAGTCAGTTAACAGCCGACCGCTCTACCACTGAGCTACTGAGGAACAAGGGGGATTCGACCTCCTAGAGTTCAACTCCCGCTCTCAACCCATGAACAATATGAGTCCGAAGCTTCTTTCGTAACTCCCGGAATTTCTTCGTAGTGGCTCCGTTCCATGCCTCATTTCATAGGTAAGCCCAGAGTGGCTCTATTTCATTCTATTTCACTTTCTAGCACTTCCTATCATTTAATATCCATCCCTTTGGTCTTATTGACATAAGAGATGTCATTTATAGTCTATCTCTTTCTATATATGGAAAGTCAAGAAATTCTCATCGAAACATCGAGAAATTGTGCATATAGAAAACTCTAAAGAAAGAAAAAAAGGAGACCCATGCCATGATTTTCAAATCTTTTCTACTTAGTAGTCTAAGTTTCTCGATGAGGTCGTTGCGGTCGGACTCTATTATAGGTTTCTGACCACATTCTCCATGGGTCCCTCTTGGATCTTCTTTCTCCAATCTTGGATTAGGGAAGAAGGAGATATTCGCGACTCCTGGTGGTTTCATTATGGGGCAGCTCATGATCTTTATATCGATCTATTATCCACCTCTGCATCTATTCTTTCTTAGCTAAACGGGTGGAAGATCCATCCAATTTGGTTATATCATGGACTCAAAAAACGGATCTGAATGTGACTGAAATGCACGATCTTCACAGGTATCACTTTTCACGATACCTAAAAGGTGGAATAGCGATTTTCGAACCATTTCCTATAAGAGAAAGGTTTCCATTACTTTGAGAAATGGATTCTATATCAAACTATAGCTATTGCATTAAAGAAGAAAAGAAACTAATAGAAGTCGAAGACGCGAAATGGTAGTGAATAGAGAGAAAGATTCTTCTGGTTTTCTTGTTCCTGAAAATATTCTATCTATCTCCTAGACGCCGTAGAGAATTGAGAATTTTCATGTCTTTCAATTCTCGTACTCGTAATTGGAAAGTTACGGAAGGAGATCCATCATTTTGCAATGAAAACTACATAAAAAACTCTGGACAATTTCGAAATCAGGCCAAGCGTCTTAATACATATGCAAAAAAAATTCATTATTGGCCCACCATTGATTAGAAGATTTAACTTGTATGAATCGCTACTAAGGTCAAAGCCGGCGCCGCCATTGACGACAGCGTCCATCTCCAGCGGCTGGTTCGCTGCTGCAGCCTTGCTCGCGGCCATGTCAGCAGCGTGTGTGTGTTCAGTGATGACAAGGAGGCGACGAACTCTACTGTGTTTGAGTTGAAGTACGTGAAGTGAAGTTATGGAGAGAGAACACAGCTACACAAGTGAAGTGGTGTGCCTAGCTCTGATCTGAAGAGTTGTATTTATAGAGCTGAAACGTGAGCCCATCTTCCACGATAAAACAATTAATTAATTGACGAGGTAGCTTAGCTGTAGAGGCCTATATATATAGCTATTGTTGTGATTTTAATATTCTCGTGCGAGTGTGAAGCGTGTGCGGCTGTTCCCAGATGTTGTGATTTTGATATGTTTAATTTGCCCATGATTCTGTCAGTGCAGGAGAATTACACTACATGCCGACATGCCGCGAGTTGGGGAAAGAAAATTACAGATCGAAACACACGTACCCGTTCTCGGCCATTGGTTCCGCACGTACGCATCGAGCGCCTCCCCCTGCTTAGGATTTTGGTGTGGAGGAGGTGGGGGAGTACGAGCTCGACGGCGTGGGTTTGGCTCCCCGTCGTCGCCGCTCACACTCGGAGAGAGGTCGTGCACCTTTGCTTGCTCGGCCATTAGGCTGAACAAGAAAAACTTGGCGCACACGGAGGAGTACGAGAGCTCAGAAAACACACGCTGAGCCCCCTACCTGGCGCGCCAGATGACGGAGCTCGTGGCTCCTCACCGGGAGACCGCGCAGGCCCCCCTTTGCCGGTTCGGCCGGGGGCTTAGGGTGAAATCTCAAGCTCTCTCGGTATGTGGAAAGATCGCCAGCTAGGAAGAAACGCGAGACACGGGCGATGTATACAGGTTCGGGCCGCTGAGAAGCGTAATACCCTACTCCTGTGTTTTGGTGGATCTGTGTATGAGGGAGCTACAAAATGTGAGCCAACCTCTTACTTGTTCTAAGTTCCAAATCTGGAAAAGATCATCCCCCTTTCCCTATGGGCAAGGTCCTCCTTTTATACTTCAAGGGGATACCACATGCACCCCTCTCTTTCCAAACTGGACTTTTCTTCTCTTCATAAATGGACGGAGATTTGCACGGTTGTCCTCCGATCATCCTTCTGACGGGACGGCACACACCTACCTCCACTTCTGCCGAAGGCAGGCGCGTCGTGGGAACGTGGCTGTCTGCCGACGACATGACCAGTGTCAGACTGGTCATTCTTGTCCTCCACGCGTCAGTTCAACAATCTGCATGTTCGCCCTTCTTCATACAACATATAGGCTGTAATGGTTGGGATGAAGCCTGGTATAAATCTAACCAGGGCTAACGTGCCATCTCTAAGAGATTACACGCTAGCTCCGGCTTGAGACGAGTGCCTAGAGGCTTTCGTCTTGACGGGATGGGGCAAGGCGTGCGTCAGACCGCCAGTCGCCACCTAACCCGTGATCTGACCGGTCTGTGACCGGTCACAGACCGGATAAAGGAACGCGCTGCACTGCGCTGCATGCAGCGTGACACGCTTGACCAGTCTTACAATAAATGCGGTTAGGTGAGCACTGCCGTGTTCACCTATCCCATATATGTGGCGCAAACTTCCTCAAGGGGTCGGGGTGCCTCGGCCCTCGGGGCCGGGACCGGAGTAACCCGACCCCCCCTCGGGGGAAATCAGGAGGAGGGCGGACACCTCACCCTCGGGCCCGACGTCCCCGAAGGTGCCAGGCCGCATGGGCGATTGTGTCTGCCTCAAGCCTCTGGTCACGATACCCCCGGTCCCATATCACCGACAATGTACATATCAGTAATAGACTAGATTAATAGTAAACCACCTTAATAGTACATCTACATGGGTATCTATAACTCTCTAAATCCATTGTCTCGCTTTTCTCTATAGACTATCTCCAGTTTAGTAGATAGCTTTGCTCTCTCTCTTTTCATTTAATTTCTTCCAAGTAGGAAAATATATGCTGACATGAATCTCTTGTAGATAGCCTATAGGTAACCATTGCGGGTGCCCTTATAGCATGCGGTGACATGGACACGCTCCACGGTTATGGCATGGTGACATCGACCGGCTTACCAACTTGGCAACTTGCAAAAAGAAATACTACTACCTCCATAGCCGTTGAATTTTTATCCAACGTTTGACCATTCGTCTTATTCAAAAAAATTATGTAATTATCATTTATTTTACTGTACCTTGATTCATCATCAAATTTATTCAAAAAATTTATGTAATTATCATTATTTTACTGTACCTTGATTCATCATCAAATGTTCTTTAAGCATGACATAAATATTTTCATATTTGCACAAAAATTTTGAATAGAACGAATGGTTAAACGTTAGTTAAAAAGTCAATGGTGTCATACATTTAAATACGGAGGGAGTATATACATATATATATATATATATATATATATATATATATATATATATATATATATATATATATATATATATATATATATATATATATATATATATACCTGTCGATGGTAAAATATGAACGATGGTTCCTCTAGCGCAACAATATGCTACATCAAGGGCCTTATCTTTTCGCTTATAC